AAAAACATTTAATTACTTTTTTTTTTTTTTTTAATAGAACTCATTTTTCTTTTTTCTTGGTTCAGGCATGTTGGAAGCTGTCCATCTATAGTATAAAACCCTTTCAGCTGTATTTAATTTTAAGCTTAGCTCCTTGTAAAGTTACATATCAAAATCAGGTTCAAAGAAATAATCTGCTCACTCATCTGTCATGCAAATGGCTAAGGTTGATTGAGAGCATTATGATTACACCAGCTATTCATTTTATATAGACTACATTATGTTTTCAATTATTCTTTGGCTATTTATCTATGTTTTATCTCTGTTTCATATTTAGTTAACTTAATGCAGGCTAGGACACCTGTAAATTAAATACATTACAGAAGAATAGAAATGTTAAAATAGTCCTACAAAATTCTACCCATCAGCAGACAGAAACGTAATAAAAAAATGTGAAAAACTCATGTACCGTTTTGCTTCTATCGTGCATTCTTCATGAATGACAAGAAATGGACAACTAGAACATAAATTCTCTTCCATTTTTATATATTTCTTTTTAATGAAAATTGGGCAGACTAGATGGGCCAAATGGTTCTTATGTGCCGTCACATTCTATGTTTCTATGAAATGTTTTACACAGCGTTAATCATGTGAAAGTTCTCTTCACTATGTTGCTCCTTCGTGTAAACCCTCTGTTTTCATAAACTTAAGATATGTAACAGTTACATTTGGATTTTAAAAGTAGTGGATTAATGACCGATAGTGTTATAGACAAGTAGGACATTTATGGACCAGGTTTAGTTGATCATAAATACAAAAAGAAAAGTCCTGCGCTCACTCTCATCACTCCTGGGCGGCAGCAACGACCACAGTACACATCAGCTAATACATATAGTAAAAACCAAAGAAAAAAAGTTACCTGCATTCTCTTCTTAATCCCTATGTATATTTACATTTATTTGACCTCCATTTGTTTAAATATACATAGGGATTAAGGAGAGAGCGCAGGTAACTTTTTTTCTTTAGTTGATCATAGCTGACAGATCCTGTATCAGATCACACACCCATTGAAGGCATCATTGATAATTATGTTTTAAATAGAGAGAATGGAAAATTAGAGAAATATTGCCTCATTACCAATTCTTCAGAGACTAAAACAGAACTTGCACATTGATTTACATCTAGCAAAAGCTTGGAGACTTTTAGCTTTGTGTTGATTTTTTGTGGTTAGTAATAATAATAATAATTATTATTATTATTATTTATTCAGCAGCCCTGGCCAATAATACATTGAGGATATAAAACAACAAGTATTGACATAGAACGTATTGTTCACAGAGACATGTGGTGAAAAGAACTCTTCACAAATGAACTCGCAATCAGCTCACAGTTTTTTTGTTGCTGTTTTATACCAAAGAGGTTAGTCCACTGTATTGTTTGTTGGTGAATTAAGTAATGATTTGCGTTAACGAATTTTAAAGTTATAGAGCCTACATTCTGTGACTTTGCTTTGTGCACTGAATTCACTGACTGAACACTGTAACAAAAACAGATTTGAGGATATTGATTAGCTGGATGCTGACATCGGGTAAAAAGGATATAGCCCGGATCCATATATAGAGTTTCTTTTCAAAGTGCCATGAACAATCCTGGAATAGGCATTATGGCGAGGACATTCACCAACCTCTTGTTGTACTTGATAAAAAGAGGGTTAATGGATTTATTGTCTGAGAGACCACCATTATTTGATGTATTATTAAGGGTCCAGGCAAATGTGTCACAAAATTACCTGTTAGAACTTTAACAATCCCATACTCTTCAAGTCCATCAGTGTTCATTTTGTTGACTTAACAATTTAAGTCAAATTTTAGTTGACTAAACTTTTCGAGATTTAGTCTACTAAAACTAGACTAAAACTAAAACAATTCAGATGACTAAAATACAACTAAAACTAGAATGGCATTTTAGTCAAAATACTATGACAAAAACTGAATTGAAATTTGCCGTCAAAATTAACACTACACAGAGGGGTGGTGGAAGGGGCAAAAGAGATAGACCAGGGCCTGAGAGAAAGACACCTAGAGAGGCTGGGAGGACACAAAGAGCCACAGAGGGGCTATGGAAGGGGCATAAGAGACAGAGGCTTTAACTAAACTGATTAGATTTTAGTTGTGTCAAATAAACAATACTGGAGATTTAGTCGACTAAAACTAGACTAAAACGAAAACAATTCAGATGACTAAAATACAACTGTCACAGTGTAATACCCCAACACACAGAGTTTAGGATAGCAAGGGACAAGACTAGGATATAATGTATTACCAGGCCTAAGAATGGCTGTAATAAACGTCAAATAGAGCTAAAGTGTAATCAGAGACGAGCCGAGGTCAGGTTAAGGGAGAGGCAGCAAAAAACGAGAATTAGCCAGAGTCAGTTTGTCCTGTGCTGATTCCACTGTCAAATTCTTCTTTTCAGCTTGATTGGGCACCAGATCGCTTTCTTGTGGCTTTATTTTTTTCTGTAACTATATTTAAATGTACTTTATCATGCAACTGGGAGTTGCTTAATGTCTGCCGTGTGCTTCGATAAACAAGACTAACAGGGTTGCAATAAAAGAAGTATAACCATGCTTCCTATAGCTACAAAAAAATCAATATGGTTCTAAAATAAAAATACAATAGTGTGAGAAATCAATGACTATAGATTAAACCAGATAACGCTACAAAATGTATAACATACCAAACCATACAGGCCTAAACTCTTTAGAATTACTTTTAACTGGTACAAAGTATCTACATTCACAAGTTACAACTAATGAACTAGTGTTTAAAAAGCACTCATTTGTAGGAAAGTCTGAGAATGCCATAAGACAGTTTTTTAGACCTTGAGCTTTGCCGTCAGGAAGCAGTTGTTCAATTCCCCCTAGAGGTCACCAAACATTTAAAGCGGGTATGGGAAACACAGACTAAGTTTTTATATTTAAAAATAAAAAAATCAATTTAATAGAATCAAAAGTTTAACAAACGAAAAAAAATATTTATCAAACAAACACAGAAAATGTAACAAGTTTGGAAATCTTACGTTTCATTACACTGTAGCTCTAGAAGCAGTTCCTTCACAAAATTCCATAATCCTCTGCAATGCCCGCTAAGTGTATTAGGGTGACACAATTTCTTCCGGTATTCCTCTCTTCTAGTTCAGTTTACCGAGTGAGAGTTATGGGTGTCTGAGCATCGGATTCGGCTTTCTCAGTGGTGCTCATTTGGCTCCCAGATTCGATTCTTATTCAAAGCCTCTGAACAAGGCGGCACTGTTCATGACAATTACTGTTCTCTAAAAACAATAAATTCTACCACACATATATTCTAATGTTTGTATTTACTTGATTTCCACATATTGAGTTTACAACTGTTTAATCATATTTTTGTGTTCAAACCAAGTTAGTATCTAACTTACTATTTAAATAAAACTCTAATTTTATAATAAGTTATTGCCAACATAGAAGATCTGACAGTGGTTATGAGTTCATGGCCGAAAATGTTCAGTCACTATTAAACAAGCAAGGTATAAGACATGAGACCATGGCACATATCTCACCCCATCAAGGACAAACCGCTGAGAGGAACTGAAGAACACTTCTTGGAATGACAAGATGTCTAGTGATCTAAAGTAAATTGCCAAAGGAGTTATGGACATAGGCAGTAATGACTGCTGCTCATATCCAAAACAGATGCTTTAATAACTATCCATATTATCTGTTAATGGGCAAATTGCCTAACCTCTTCAAAATGAAGATGTTTGGGTCAGAATGTTTTGCATATAAATATGACAGAAATAAACTAGATTTAAATGTACAAAAGTGATGTGACAAGAATAGCCCTCCTTACCCAGTTAATTATCTAGACAGAGTAAAGTTCTCAAATACAGACTAGTGAAAATAATTACAAATATTGCTGACAAGCTCAAACAGACATGATGAAGAGGACTGCTGTAGAGAGAGCAATACATCATCTGTACCAAAAACTACAGATTTGACGGGACGTGTCCGCCTGCCAGGGAAGATGGCGGCATAACTGCTCAGCTCCATGTGGCCCACGTTAAAACCGCACCAAAACTCTCACTTCCACCGGTACCAGACAATTATTGGGTGCACCATACGCTCGTCTGAACCCTCCGGTACCCTGAAACCAACAGGGTCAGGACTGGAACAGTCAATACGCACCTACTTAACGACACCAAGAGATCTTACATACCAGCCCGAGATGGCGGCCCATAGCCAACTCCGGGATCACCACCCGCAACTCCCACGAGGTTCTCACCGGCCTCATCCCATGCATCGGAGGCACAGATGGTGCTAGATGGGGAGCTGCATGCCATACTCCCTCTCCAACCGTCTAAGCCGGGTGGTCCAGGAAGAATTTGCCCAAGTACGGGTGGATATGGCAAATATCGATGCCAGAGTCACTATCTCCGCGCCGACCTAAACAAAACCCATGAGCCGATGACAGGCTTGAGAAACAAGCATGGCCCACTTAACCACCTGGGTGGATGACCTTGATAATAGGGGCCGCATACTAAACTTCTGAGTCAGAGGAGTGAGAGAGGGTGGCCCAGCGGATAACATACCGGAACTCCTGCGCACAATCTTTGGCCACGTGCTGGGTGGCCAACAGCTCCCCAGACTGGGTCTAGTCAGAGCACACCGCGCCCTGTGCACACCACCTGCACCGGGAGACCACCCCTTGAGATATAGTATGCTGCCTAGAAAATGTCATCCTGAAAGAGGACATACTACGCACCGCCCGCCGCATAGGCACAATACTCATAGACGACCAAGCCATGGTGATATACCAAGATCTCTCCCGCTACACACTACAGGCACAGATAGCTCTCCGCCCGGTGATGATGGCACTGCAAGCAGCGGAAATCCCTTACCCCGCCAGGGACAGACAACGTACACATTCAAGGCCCCACCCAATGTCCCAGGATCTCAATGCTTGCTAGGCCTTCCTCCTGTACAGGTGCCTAGCTGACTGGCACACCAGTTCCTTCAGCAACTCAACGGCCCACCACCACCACCAGGCAGAGAACCGGGCCATGATCGGTATCAACACCAACGGCCCTGGCACCCGGCCCGACCAGATCGGAGGAGTAAAAGATGAGGCTGAACACCACAACATTTCGGGACACAAGCCGCACATATGACACATGCCAGCACTGTTATGGGGCGGGGACTCACTTTTATTGGGGAGGGGGGGTTAAGGATCAAAACAGGGACATGGGACTTCATCAAAGCACCTGGGATGTTACATCCCACTATGCTTCACCTAGAGAGAGTTTTTCATTTGGGGTTACAAGCCATATGACATGTGCAAACACAGCTATGGGAGGCTCACTTTTATTTGGGAGGGGGGCTAAGGATCAAGAGGGGGACGTGGAACACAGCAGACCCCAAACCCCGCCACGTCTTGCCCACAGTGAAACATCCCCTATCTGATGGAAACGGACGATCTGAGATGCACCAAATCCAACCCATTGGAACGATAAAAACAATCCACTAAATTCATCATGCCATGCTCTGTAGGATAACAAATCAGTGCAGACACACGAAGGGGGGGAGGGAGAGACAAAGAGTGCTACAACTGGGTAACACATGGACACCCACACATGGGCGGAAATCCTGCACAATACCCAATAAGAAGCCCGAGGGGGGGGAAATGAGGGATAAACTACAGAGAGACCACAGGGAATGAGGAGGGTAGACTGGGCTAACACTCCCGGGGATACAAAGCAAGGGGGGGGAGGGGAGGACAGGATGGAAATGGATAAACAAGAGGAGGAAAATATAAGTAGAGGAGGGGGAGGGGAGGAATGGGGAAGGAGAGGGGAAGGGGAGGGATAAAAAAAAATGAAAATAATAAAAAACAGTTTGTGAGATGGGGTGGATAAGTTAGAGACGAGGGAGAACAGAAGGGGAGCATGGAGAGGGAGGCAGGGAACAGGGGAAAGAGAGAGAGAGGAGGGGACTGGAGGGGAGGGAGCAAGACATATCTAAGGGAGAAGAGGAGACGACTGCAGATAGTGGTGGTGAAGGGGGAGAGGGGGGAGGGGAGAGAAAAAAACTAAAAAATGCACAGGAGACATGGCATCAATACGCAATACGCAGCTTCGAAGCTTAATCTCACAGGCAATGGTTACTGTACTGAAATGCATATTTCTAATTGCGACCACCCCCACCTACAGATGTTCCCCCTGCAGACAACTCAGGTCCAGGAGAGACGTGAGGGGGGTGGCGGGGGAGGAGGAGGGTTCTCCCTCTCCCTGGGGTCTAGTGGGGCTGCTGGGCTGCTGGGCGGGCGGTGCTGGTGAGGGAGCACTGGCTTGTTGTTAGTTAGCCGCAAGGCTAACAAGACATTTGCCCTGGGCATTTGGGGGCAGCTTTTTTTGCCGCCCCCTGGAAAATGACACCCAAGGCAAATGCCTTGTTTGCCTCGCGGCTAATATGTCCCTGCCCACCACACTACACCTAGCAACTACTCACACCATACAAGCCACATGGCCTAGGAGAGGAATCTCCAGAGGAGGAACCAGCCGACCTACTACTGGTGCAAACCTCACCACACTACAGAAACCCCAAACCACAGCAGACCCCAAACCCCGCCACGTCTTGCCCACAGTGAAACATCCCCTATCTGATGGAAACGGACGATCTGAGATGCACCAAACCCTACCCATTGGAACGATAAATAACAATCCACTAAATTCATCATGCCATGCTCTGTAGGATAACAAATCAGTGCAGACACACGAAGGGGGGGAGGGAGAGACAAAGAGTGCTACAACTGGGTAACACATGGACACCCACACATGGGCGGAAATCCTGCAGAATACCCAATAAGAAGCCCGAGGGGGGGGAAATGAGGGATAAACTACAGAGAGACCACAGGGAATGAGGAGGGTAGACTGGGCTTACACTCCCGTGGATACAAAGCAAGGGGGGGAGGGGAGGACAGGATGGAAATGGATAAACAAGAGGAGGAAAATATAAGTAGAGGAGGGGGAGGGGAGGAATGGGGAAGGAGAGGGGAAGGGGAGGGATAAAAAAAAATGAAAATAATAAAAAACAGTTTGTGAGATGGGGTGGATAAGTTAGAGACGAGGGAGAACAGAAGGGGAGCATGGAGAGGGAGGCAGGGAACAGGGGACAGAGAGAGAGAGGAGGGGACTGGAGGGGAGGGAGCAAGACATATCTAAGGGAGAAGAGGAGACGACTGCAGATAGTGGTGGTGAAGGGGGACGGGGGGAGGGGAGAGAAAAAAACAAAAAAATGCACAGGAGACATGGCATCAATACGCAATACGCAGCTTCGAAGCTTAATCTCACAGGCAATGGTTACTGTACTGAAATGCATATTTCTAATTGCGACCACCCCCACCTACAGATGTACCCCCTGCAGACAACTCAGGTCCAGGAGAGACGTGAGGGGGTGGCGGGGGAGGAGGAGGAGGGTTCTCCCTCTCCCTGGGGTCTAGTGGGGCTGCTGGGCTGCTGGGCGGGCGGTGCTGGTGAGGGAGCACTGGCTTGTCAGTTAGCCGCAAGGCTAACAAGACATTTGCCCTGGGCATTTGGGGGTGGCTTTTTTTGCCGCCCCCTGGAAAATGACACCCAAGGCAAATGCCTTGTTTGCCTCGCGGCTAATATGTCCCTGCCCACCACACTACACCTAGCAACTACTCACACCATACAAGCCACATGGCCTAGGAGAGGAATCTCCAGAGGAGGAACCAGCCGACCTACTACTGGTGCAAACCTCACCACACTACAGAAACCAGACAGAGAGGTGCAGCAACACCTCGCATACACTGTGTAATACTACTTTTATTTGGAACTCAACTGCAGAAATTTTTATTCCAGTAACTGTTAGTTTTACCTCTTTTTGTTACTGATGTGGAGGAGAGGATACTGTAGCTTTAAACCTTCAAGCAGGATGTTAATTGCAAGGAAAAATAAGCCACTGATGATTTGCACAAAGCCAAACAGTCCCAATTTAAGAATAGTGCAGAGAATGTATGCAGAGTTAGGTTAGGTTAATTGTGATAGAATAACTGCAAGCAAAATTATCAATGAGGCAAGACAGAATTGCAACTAGGAATAATTTGATTGTTGGAAGTAGAATTAAGCCTTAGAAGCAGTTCCTTATTTATAACAGAGAGTAACTTGATTGAATGACACAGTATTGAGCCTTAGAAACAGTCTCTTATCAGTAACAGAGAGTAGCTTGATTGTAGGAACTAATACTTAGCTTAAGAGGCAATTCTGGAACTGAAGAGCTTAATTAAATCCAATAGTTGTGTAGAGTAATAGAAGTCCGTTTAGCAAGCCGAGGTCAAGGAGTGGAGAAGGAGGGTAGTCGTCCCAGAGCGTTATTCGGTACACGGTAAGTTCAAAATAGAGCAGCTGGTAAGTTTTACAGACACCTGTGCAATAATCCAGCCCTTTGAATCTGGCGCGGTCTTCCTAAGTAGCGTGGAAGGACCGCGTCAGAAAAAAGGGGCGGGGCGAAGCTCCGTGAACCCGGAAGTGGGTTCTTTCGGCGAAAAGCACAGCAGGTATAACCTGACACACTGGCCTCTACGGGGAATGGATGATTCTCATACTCCTGACCAATAGTGATCACACATAGATCAAACCTGGACAGACACACCAGATACACCAGGAATCCACCACCCCCTCAGAAAAAGGACATAGTGCATCCCTTACACAAAGGGAGCTTTTCCATCTGGGAGTAACCACGATCACCCAGAACCACTGGACTCGAGTGGGCCCATTGCCTGGATGCCTGTCCATTGACCTGCCCTTCAACCGCCCCTTTTCTCTCTGCATCGCCCCCCCCTTTGCTCCTCTCCCCCGCTCCTCTGCACCTGCTTGCCGTTCTGGCGGCGCTGGCCCTGTGGTGCACCCGCTACACGCGGGAGGACCTAAACATTGGCACAAAACACTCCCGTCTTCTCAGAGACCTCAAAAGATTCAGGACATCTGTAGCGTTCATACAAAAGGCGCACTTCCAAGAGAACCAAGCACCATCCCTCAGAGACCGCAATTACCCAGTGGGTTTCTTTAGAAATAACCCGACTCGCTGCACCCTCAGGGTGGAGATACTATTCACCAGATGGATACCCTACATGGAACTAGACACTCTCCGATGCAAACAAGGCAGACACATCTTCATGAAAGGCACCATCCACGATCAGAAATACACATTTGCGAACATCTACGCTGCAAACACAAAACAATACCAATTCCTCCACACAACATTAACATGCCTGATGAAATTCACAGAGGGCCCCCTGATCATAGGCAGAGACCTCAACCTGCCGCCACACCAAGACGATACCACCTCAAACACTGCTACCAGGTTTGGTGAACCCGGACCAAACAGGTTTCATCCCGGGCAGAGAGATAACACCATCCGAGCGGTGAACCTGATCTCGGAGGCCAGGAGGACCAAGCCCCCGGCTCTGCTCCTGTCAATGGACGCCTAGAAGGCATTTGACCGGGTGGATTGGGATCTTATGTTCGGAACACTCTGGGACCTAGGCATCGGGCCAAAATACATCACGTGGATACAGGCGCTATACACATGCCCGACAGCATGACTGCGGATCAACGGTGCTTTCTCCGACCCGTTTCAGATACACAACGGAATCCGCCAAGGCTGCCCACTCTCACCCCTGCTTTTCGCGTTCACACTCTGCAAGCGATTACGGTGGAATTTGAAACCTATGGCCGCATATCCAATTTGCGAATCAACTACACCAAATCAGAAATCCTAAGCCTCAACACCAACCCCACTCAGCAACGGACGATGCTTCCCCTTTAGTTGGTTTGACACCCGTATGAAATAGCTAGGGATATGGCTCACACCAGAGCCAAAGGATCTATACGCTCACAATTACACTCCCATCCTTACTGCAGCAGTAGAAGAACTACACACATGGAACTTGTGTTAAATTCCTGGCGTGGCCGAGTGAACGCAGTCAAGATGACCTTACTCCCTAAACTCCTCCTCATCTTCCAAATGGTACCAGTCAAGGCCCTGAAGACCTTCTTCACAGCCATACAGGCAGAAGTCTGCAAATTTGTTTGGTGGGGTAATCCCCTCCGTATAGCTCACTCTCAACTGAATCTCTCCAAACTTAGAGGTG